TTTACATTTTTTGGAATTTATTTGATATTTTTAAACAGCATTTTAAAACCAGCAAAACAGGTTTCAGTTTCTGTCATATCTGTTTTCGGTCGACCGTACCGGTCGACCGATCATTTGATCTTTCTTCACTGGGCGACAGAGCAGTCTGTCGGTCGGACCGGTCCGGTCGACCGAAAGCTCCATGCGTCGACCACACCGGTCGACCGACGACAAGTCCTGGCTTGTTTTTTGTTTTTCAGACCTGCTCGCGTCGAACGGAGTTTTTTTCGTCGGTCGACCGAATTCTTTTTTCGGTCGACCGAACGATCTGTCGGTCGACCGACAATAGATCCATTAGACACTAACGGCTATTTTTCTGAGCTGTCTTCTGGGGACTGTTTTGTCTTTTTGTTTGGGTTTTTGGCTGAGTTTTTGAGTGGATATAAATACCCTATTGCTGTTCTCTTTCAATTGAACTAAGAGAAAAGTTTTAAAGAGTTTTTACAAGTTTGTTTAAGGTTTTCTAAGTGTGTTTAAGAGTTTGGTTTGTGAAGATAATTTCACAAGGGCTTGAGGAGATAATCTTTGGTGTTTGGGCTTCAAATCATCTCTCTCTCACTCTTGTCATTTATTGGAGAAGTTTTCTAAACTCAATCTAGCTTTTCATTTTATTGTTTGATTATCATTTTATTAAGCTAGTGTTTATATTGAGTTTAGTTGATTTTATTTTCTCTATGTTTATACACACAACCATTTGAGCTTATTGTATTTACATTCATAGTATAATTGAGTTGTGGGATTGTGTAACAGGACACGGGCTAGGACCAACACTTAGTGTGTGAGGTGTGATTGCATAGTGATTGTATTGTGAGGTGTAAACGTTGTTCGGGTGAACGTAGAAAACCCGGTTGTGATAGTGGAGATCTCCTCGAGGTGAGGAGCGGAGACGTAGGTCGTGGGGACCGAATTCCGTAATCATATTGTTTGTTTGTGATTGCATTGGCGCACTCTTTTATGTTCATATCTTATATCGCCTTTATATATTGCTTGTTGATTATTTGCCCACTATCTAGTTTAGATTGTTTACCCTTGAGTTTATATATCCTTGCACATACATTGCATATATCTCTTTGTTAGGATATATCTTGTTGTTCATATTACTTGTCCTAGCTCATATACATTGTTGTATTTCATACTTGCTAGGATAACTTGTTAATTAGTTTTTAACTGGCATTAAATCGGATTAGATTAGCTTAAGACCCTAACCCCCCCCCCCCCCTCTAGGGCTAACAATCTCTTGGTAGCCCATTGTCGATGAACAACATCATTGGCGGGAATGATGGTGTTGGGGTAATCAGATCGCTCAGGAACATATAAATGTGATGACTGATTAGAATAGTAGCATATTGCATAGTAGGCCACTATCATCGATTGTTCTAAGGATTGTAGGCAATAAAAATTACCTTTACACAAAAGAACTCAAATATAGCTTGTAAGCTTGGCTCCCCTAGTGGTAAAGATTCTCGTATTCAGAAGGCCAAGCAGAGCTCGCCTGTAAGCTTGGCTCGCCAACCCGCTTTGCATTCAAGAGGCCAGGCCAAGCTCGCCTGTTTGCTCACATGTTTGTCTGCCTTGCCAGCACAAGTCAATCTCGCTTGCATTCAAGAGCCCAAGCCAAGCTTGCCTGTTTGCTTGACTTGCCAGCACAAGTCAAGCTCCCCTGTTCACTTGGCTCGCTTGCACGAGTCAACCCCCGCCTATTCGCAAAGCTTGCCTGTAAGCTTGCCTGAGCGTTCAAATATCTCTCAAGCTCGCGCGTAAACCTGTCGGCCTCGCCTGAATAGTGCAAGAGGCTGCTTGCTTATGGGAGTGGGCCCACCCACGTCCTATGTCCTGCGTAATGAGGCATGGCTCTCATCACCCCTATAGTGGCCACATCCTACAGCTAGGAGAGGGCATGGTGCTCCTCACCTATTAGTGGTCACATCCCATAAGTTAAGGGGGGAACCAGGCTTTCACTTGCCTATTTAAAGATCTTCTTCGCCAATGTGAAGAAGGGGGGCTTGTTCAGGTATTGTCTTGCTCCTGGCTGGTGTGTAGGCTCTTCAAACAGAGACTTCCATTGGCTTGCTTGGTGGAACATTCTTGGATTTAAAATTTGGATTGTTGAAGTAGACTCAATCTGATCTCTCAGATTTGAGACTCATTAGCTCTCTGCATACTCTTGCATTGTAGTCCTCTCTAAGCATTCGGCCTTGATACTCATCAAGCTCGGGTATAATCGAACTCAATCACACAAGAGCTTTTACTACATACCGAAGCTCAACCGCAATTTCGAACGGATCGTCCAAGGGAAGTAAACTCGATGCAAGCATTCGAGAGAGACGTCCTATCGCTACCGAAGAGCCCACATTAAACAAGAAGAGCATTCTCTTTACTTCTTTTGTAATTGTTGATCCTTAGTTTGTAATAAGCCATTCTTATTAATACAAACAATCACTTTTCGGGAGTTAATTTTTACGCCCAAATAGAATATGGCGACCAAAGTAGAAGAAACTATTTCTTCAATCGAAATGGTAGTGGCAAAATTTGACGAAGTTGTGGAGGGGATGACAGTCGAGTCCCTTGTGATTGAGTTCGACCAAGCTAAGTATGAGGAGTACTTATCTTCTTCCTCCTTTAGCGGTAAAGCTTGTCGCTGATACCGCAGAGTTGTGCATGAGGCCGAGCCCCATGTGGCCAGGGCAACCTTGCACGAGAGTGTTGGACCCTAGAGGGGGGGTGATTAGGGTCTTAAGGCAATAATTGTGCAATAAAAAATAAGACAAGCAATACACCACAAAATAAACAACCAAAGTAAAAGAGATAGAATTAGAAATCGTTATCCAAGTAACGCATGATGTGTTAACGAGATTCGGCCCGCTGACCTACGTCCCCTCTCCCCACTCTCTAGGAGAATCCACTACACAACCCGGTTTGGAAGCCGGAACTTCTTCTACAAAACGATCTCCACAAGATCTCATAACTACATAGTTGATCACCACAAGATCTCACTCCCACACAGTTGATCTCCACAAGATCAAGCTCACAACAGTAGTAAATAGTGTAAAATCTCTCTCTTTACAGTTTTCCTATGGCAAGGAGAAAGATCACACTTGAAGCTTGGGAAGTGAACTTGATAACAGAGAAAACAGGATTGAAAATTTGGCTCTCAGTAAAACAAAACTCTGGTTTTTTAAATTGCTTGGGATAGGTTGAAGAACAGGGGTAGAGGGGTTTAAATAGGAGAAAACACTGCAGCCAAAGCCCATACCCAAATCCCACACAATCCCGTAAAAATCATTTCTCAAATCTGTACCAAAAAATCCGTTGGCGTGAACGGCGGTCGACCGCGAGCTGCTTTCGAATCTGAGAAAAAATTCTAGAGACCTTTACGGTCGACCGTGGCGGTCGACCGTGGGAATTTTCAGATTGATGGTCGACCAAGATGGTTGGCCGCGAAAGTTTCTGCTGTCCACTCAGAGAAAAACATAGGTGTGGTCGACCGTGGCGGTCGACCGCAAACTGATACAAGGGATATCTGTTTTAAAACCTATTTTTGACTCTTTAAAAATCTATAAAAATACTAAAATGACTTCTAAAAATTGTATAACTTTGTAAATTGTTTTTAATACTAAAAACAAACTGTTTAGAAAAGTAATTTTATGAATAGGTCCTCATACTTGTGAAAAATGATATTTTGTCAAAACGCTCAAAATTATAAGTATGAAAACGTGTGTGTAATATCCCAATAGCTTCAAATAAAATCTACAACTACTTTCCTACATTCTAGCACTAGAGAGAAAATAAAAACTAGCTATTATCCTCACATAGAATTACATTTTTTTGAGTCTTGATATAGCTTTGAGTTGATGAAGCTTTCACTTATATATGTTGTTCTTGATTAACATTTGCTTCATCACTATGCCTCCTCCTCCTTTGGGTATCTTCGTTGTAGCTCATATTCCATCCAATCCTCCATTAGTGGTACTAACAAGCTTGATATATATATTAACTACAATATCACTCAACAAGCAATTAGTACCTGATAATAGTGGTTGTAAATCATCATCAAAACATAAGGGCTAACAATCTCCCCCTTTTTAATGATGACAACCAACCATTATATTGAAGCAAAATAAATGTAGCTTATAGATAGTAGCTGCCCCTATCTATGAGCTCTCCCTAACTATGTGCAACAAATGAGGAGATTTCTCTCCCCCATTGTCACCATCAAATTGGGGTAAATGGAATGGTAAAAAAATGCATATGATGTGCAACAAACAAACAAAACAAAAGCTTTTACATAGTGCATAAACCCAAACCATTTCTTATGCGACAAAAATCATCTTCACTAAGAGGCTTGGTAAAGATGTCCTCTAATTGAGATTTAGTGTCAATATAAACAAGGGAAACATCTTGCCTCTCTACATGATCGCATAAGAAATGATGGCGCACATCAATATGTTTGGTTCTAGAGTACAAAACAGAATTTTTTGAAATATTTATAGCACTCGTGTTATCACAAAAGATTTTTATATTTTGAAAATTCAAATCATAGTCAACTAAACTTTGTTGCATCCATAAAACTTGGGCACAACATAAGCCGGCGGTAATGTATTCCGCTTTCGTAGTGGACAATGCAACACAATTTTGTTTCTTGGAAGCCTAAGAGACAAGAGAATTTCCTAAGAATTGGCATGTACCACTCGTACTCTTACGATCTACCTTACATCCGGCAAAGTCGGCATCACAAAAACTATAAAGATCAAAAGAGGTGCTTTTTGGGTAAAATAAACCAAGATCAATTGTTCCATTGACATATTTAATAATTCTTTTAACCGTAATTAAATGAGATGTTTTAGGAGAAGCTTGAAAACGTGCACATGCACACACACTAAACATAATATCGGGTCTACTAGCGGTGAGATAAAGAAAACTACCTATCATATCTCGGTATAATTTTTTGTCTACATCCTTACCAGTATCATCCGCATCAGGCTTGACATTTGTACTCATGGGAGTTCGTGCATGGTTAGAATTCTACAATTTGAATTTCTTCACCAATTCTCTGGCATACTTGCTTTGAGAAATGAATATCCCATCCTTAGTTTGCTTGACTTGGACCCCAAAAAAGAAAGTGAGATCTCCCATAATGCTCATCTCAAAATGATCTTGCATAACTTTAGAAAAATCCTTGCATAGAGATTCATTAGTAGCACCAAAAATGATATCATCAACATATATTTAAACTAAAATGAAATTAATTTTCCTTTTTCTCACAAAAAGAGTATTATCAATTTTTCCTTTTGAAAAACCATTTTCAAGAAGAAAACTAGAGAGACGAACATACCAATCTCTAGGAGCTTGTTTTAACTCATATAAAGCTTTTTGAACCCGGTAAACATGATTAGGAAATGAATGATTGTTTTAACTCATATAAAGCTTTTTGAACCCGGTAAACATGATTAGGAAATGAATGATCCATAAAACCGGAGGGGGGGGGTTGCTCAACATATACTTCCTCTTCTTTAAAACCATTTAAAAAGGTACTTTTAACATCCATTTGAAATAATTTAAAATCTTTAAAGCTTACAAATGCCAAAAACATCCTAATTGATTCTAACATTGTAACCGATGCAAAGGTTTCATCATAGTCTATGCCCTCCTCTTGATTGTATCTTTGGACAACCAAACAAGCTTTATTTCTTGTTACAATGCTATGTTCATCAAGTTAGTTTCTAAAAACACATTTTGTTCCAATTACACTAGCATTGTTAGGTCTAGGAACTAGTTTCCAAACATTATTTCTTTGAAAATTATTTAGTTCATCATGCATAGCTAAAACCCAAAACTCATCTTTTAAAGCATCATTGATCTTTTTAGGTTCTATTTGAGATAAGAAGGTAACATTACCACACTCACTCAAAGCTTTTGAGCGAGTTAGAACCCCTTGTGAAGGATTCCCTATTATTTGCTCCTTTGGATGATTTGGTGCAAATTTCCATGCTTTAGAGAGTTCTTCTTGCTCTTGCACTTGAATGTTGTTGCTTTCTCCATCCTTTTGAGAATCTATTGTGGGTGTTTCATTTAGTTGCAAGAATTCCAATCCTCCCTCAACATCATCATCATCTTTCCTAGGCAAACCAACTTGTAAACCAATATTAGTCTCATCAAAAGTAACGTTTATAGATTCTTCAACAACAAGAGTTTATTTGTTGAAGACCCTATAAGCCTTACTTCGAGGTGCATATCCTAGGAAAATGCCAACATCAATTTTAGAATCAAATTTATCATGATGATCTTTTGTATTTAAAATAAAGCATTTATAACCAAAGATACGAAAATATTCAATAAAAAGAGTTTTGCCATAAAAAAATTCATAAGGGGTTATCTTAAGCTTTGGTCTAATCAAAACACGATTCAAAACATAGCAAGCCGTATTGACGGCTTTCGCCCAAAAATACTTAGGCAAATCAAAAGAATTTAACATAGTTCGTGCCATCTCTTGTATGGTGCGATTTTTCCGTTCAACAATACCATTTTGTTATGGTATTCTTGGAGCGGAAAACATATGTGTTATACCACGATGTGCACAAAAATCATAAAAAAAATTATTTTAAAATTCACCACTATGATCACTTCTAATTTTAACAACTTTCAACTCTTTTTCATTTTCAATTCTTTTGACATAATTTGAAAATTCTTTAAAACATTCATATTTACTACCAAGAAAGATTATCCATGTAAAACGAGAGAAATCATCAATGATAACAAAAACATAGTGTTTGCCTTCTAGAGAGGTAACACGCATAGGACCAAATAAATCAAGATGAAGTAATTATAAGGGTTTAAAAGTTGATACCTCATTGATAGATTTGAAGGTAGACTTAGTTTGTTTACCTTTAGCACAATCTTCACAAATGGTATCTTTAATGAAGTGCAAGTTTGGTAACCCTTTTACAAGATACCTCTTGGATAATTTGGATATCAACTCCATGTTGGCGTGTCCAAGCCTCTTATGCCAAATCCAAGGGTTTTCATTAACCGCCACAAGGCATTTAACATCTTGATCTACTAGCACATTCATCTAAAAAATGTATACATTTGATTTTCTATTAGAAACAAAAATAGTTTTTCCATTTGAGCTAACAATGCACTTATCCGGTTTAAATGAAATATCAAAACCTTTGTCACTCAATTGGCTAATGCTAAGAAGATTATGATTCAAGTCATTTAACAAATAAACATCTTCTATTATGGGAGAAGGTGTCTTACCAATGTATCCAATACCTATGATTTTACCTTTCTCACCGCCACCGAAGGAGACGCTACCTCCTTCAATCCTTGATAGGGTTGCAAATAGCTCTTTGTTGCCCGTCATATGATATGAGCAACCACTATCAAGGTACCACATCTCTCTACGTTGTATTCGTGATGTTCCCTACAAGAGATGAAGATGTAGTAACTTTAGGTACCTAAACCTTGGGTCCTTGGTGGTTAGTAAGCTTGGTACCTTTGGGTACCCATGTCATTCCATAAAAATCATGATTATCTTTAATCCTACAATGAGTGGAGATATGACCATGTTTCATGCAATATGTGCACACAAAATTTCTCTTGTGTGTAGGAGCATAAGATCTATGAAATCTATTTCTCTCATGGTGATGATGATTAGCATAAGCATGAGTAGGTCAAATTCTACCACATTCAATTTCAAGTCTTTCAATCTTAGATCTTAATTGTTTGTTTTCAAAATCAAGATCCCCTAACAATTCATCTTTTAAAGCAAGAGATGTTTGTAGTTGTTCGAGTTTGGAATCACAAGAAGCATGTAATTTTTTAACGGAAGAATATTCTTTTAACATCCTTTTAAACTCAATGTTTAATTCTTCTAATGGGGTTGCTTGGTCACATTACGTATAAAAGGATTCACTTTCGGTATCGGAAACTACCTCCTTTTCATAAGCCATGAAACAAATGTTAGGATCATGAAGAGCAATCTTTTCTCCTTCTTCATTGCTATCCGAATCGCATGGTTCGGATTCCTCCCATCCGGCATACATGGCTTTCTTCTTCTTGTACTTCAAGTATTTCTCCTTGAGCTTGGGCCAATCTTTGGCGACATGACCCTGTTCATTACATTCAAAACATTTTTCTACACGTGAAAAAAATTTGTTGTTAGATCAGGGATTAAACTTCTTATTCATTTTAATGAGTCTCGATATTCTTCTAGAGAGGTGAGCCACTTCTCTAGAAAAATCAACTTCACTATCTGATGATGATGATGAGTTATCACTAGCTCCCTTGAGAGCTATAGTATTCATTTTTGGTGATGGCTCCTCAACTTCCCGTGGAGGCACTTCCTCTTTCTCCTTTCCCTTAAGCTTCTTCTCATGAACCTTAAGCTTGCCGATGAGGCCATCGAGAGCTAGAGTAGTAAGATCGTGAGCTTCCTCTTTGGCCATAGCTTTAGGCTCCCACGCCATGGTCAATGAACGAAGGATCTTGTAGTTCATCTCTTGGATAGTCAATTGCTTGTTAAGACCATGCAATTCATTAATTATGTTAGTCAAGCGAGAAAACATAGCATCAATGGATTCATTAGGAAGCATTTTAAACAACTCATAGTCATGCATAAGCCCACTAATCTTAAATTCCTTAACTTGAGGGGTTCCTTCATGTGTAATACATAATTTCACCCAAATTTCGTATGCGGTTGCACATGTAGAAACCCTATTATACTCATTAGGGGAAAGATTGTAAATTAAGACATTCATGGCCTTTGCATTGAGATTAGCTTGATGCCTTTCTCCATCGGTCATGTTACTAATCTTGGACTTTTTTACATATTTCTTCTCTATGAGTTCTAGAATGTCAAGATTAATGCAGCGAAGGTAAATCCTCATCCTAGCCTTCCAATAAGCAAAATTACTACCGGTAAAAAGTGGTGGATTGTCCCTCTAACATATGCACATTCATTGAAGCCTCCATAAGATCTTTTCTCTAAGGTGGTTAGACCAAAAACTAATATAGAGACCAAGCTCTTATACTAATTGTTGGACCCTAGGCGGGGTGATTAGGGTCTTAAGGCAATAATTGTGTAATAAAAAATAAGACAAGCAATACACCATAATATGAACAACCAAAGTAAAAGAGATAGAGTTTGAAATCGTTATCCAAGTGACACGCGATGTCTTAACAAGGTTCGGCCCGCTGACCTACGTCCCCGCTCCCCACTCTCGAGGAGAATCCACTACACAACCCGGTTTGTAAGCTAGAACTTCTTCTACACAACGATCTTAACAAGATCTCACAACTACACAGTTGATCACCACAAGATCTCACTCCCACACAGTTGACCTCCACATTATCAAGCTCACAACAATAGTAAATGGTGTAAAATCTCTCTCTTTACAGTGTCCCTATGGCAAGGAGAAAGATCACACTTGAAGCTTGGGAAGTGAACTTGAAAACAGAGAAAACAAGATTGAAATTTAGCTCTCAGTAAAACAAAACTCTGTGGAGATGTGATCCTCCCAGCTACCCTAAAAATCCATAATGCACGCTCTCAGCATGTCCTCTAAGATCTGATTCACCCTCTCGGTCTGACCATCTGTCTGGGGGTGAAAAACGCTGCTAAATGACAACTGACTACCAAAAGCATCATGGAAACTCTTCCAAAAATGAGATGTGAAGATTGAGCCCCGACATGATACAATCAACTCCGGAACTCCATGCAATCTAACAATCTCCCGACTGAAGATCCTCGCATACATATATGCCGTATAAGTCGTCCTCACAGGTAAGAAATATGCGGACTTAGTCAATCTGTCCACTATAACCCAAATAGAATCATTTTCTTTCTTTCATTTAGGCAACCCCACAACGAAATCTATGGAAATATCTGTCCACTTCCACTCGGGAATGGGTAAAGGCTGTAGGATTCCTACAGGTCTCTGATATTCTGCCTTGATCTACTGACATGTAAAACACTTAGCCACATACTCTGAAATCTCTCTGCGCATACCACTCCACCAGAAATGCCTCTTCAGATCCTTGTACATTTTCGTCGGCCTCCGACCAAGAATAGATAAGAATATCGTCGATGAAAACTATCACGAACTGGTCTAAATAAGGGTGAAAAACACAAATACTACGGGTGCATTGGTCAGCCCAAATGGCATGACAAGAAACTCGAAAGACCCATATCGAGTCAAGAAAGCGGTC